ACGTGGGGCTGCCTGTGCCTGCTCAGGACAGTCCCGCGCAGGCTGTGAGTACCTGCAGCAGGGAGCGCCGGCCACGGGGCGGTGGAGGGACCGCTTTTTCCCTGGGCTCCTTCCCTGCCTGCAGTCCTCCCTGTCCTTACCTGAGGCAGCGTGGTAAGCCATATGGTCCCTGCTGGGGCTTCTGGCGGGGGTGGACCCTGCTGTTGTGGGAGCCTGCCGGGCTTCCCCTGGATCTTGCTGCCCCTGGCTCCTGTCACTTTTGATGGGAACTAAGGGCAGATAAATATTAATTTTTCGAAATTTTTTAGTGTCCCCACGGGCCAGATACGGCCCACAGGCCGTATTTTACCCACCGCTGGTGTACAGGCACCTGAGGTAACTAGTCAATTGCCCCAATTTCTCAGGAAGTATGAGAACACCTCTCCTGTTGCCCCTCCTGCTTGCTTTTCCTCCAGGTCTCCTGCTTTGCCACTTACCTCAGGACTTTGGTCTCCATTCCCTGGATGGACACCAAAATCAACAGTTCAATATCTAGTTGGCAGCCAGTATGAAGTGAAGTGTTCCAGGGGTTAGTCCTGGGGCCAGTTTTGTTCAACGTCTTCATCAACAACCTGGAAGATGGGATGGAGTGCACCTTCAGCAAGTCTGCAGATGCCACCAAGCTGGGGGAGCAGTAGATACGCTGGAGGGTAGGGCTAGGATTCAGAGTGACCTAGACAAATTGGAGGATTGGACCAAAACGAATCTCATAAGGTTCAATAAGGACAAGTGCAAGGTCCTGCACTTAAAATGGAATAATCCCGTTCACTGGTACAGGCTGGGGGGCTGACTGGCTGGGCAGCAGCTCTGCAGAAAAGGACCTGGAGGTTACAGTAGACAATAAGCTGAATATGAGCCAACAATGTACCCTTGTTGCCAAGAAGGCTAATGACATACTGGACTGCATTGGTAGGTGTGTTGCCAGCAGGTCAGGGAAGTGATTATTCCCCTCTTTTCAGCACTGGTAATGCTGAGGTATTTTATGGCCTCTCAAGGGAACACTTAACACTTAGGATGACTGTTATTCAGGTTTTCTCTTCCTTGAGATTAACTGCTTTGATTGCACTTACCTGCACAGGCAGATGCAAACCATTCTTTAGCTTTTTTTTTAGCTTGGATTCCTTTTTTAGGGATGTTTTAAATTTTTCTTGAGCTTTGGGCTGGAAAGCAGCTGCAGGTGAGGAACATAAGCCAACATGTACATAGACAGTATATACAGGGTTTTGCAGTGGTCCTGTTGTGTATAGATTGGTTGAAATCAAAGCAGGTCACGTTCATTCCCACAGCAAGGACCGTGTGGTGACATCAGGGTGGGGAATTTCCTGTCTTTCTTGGGACTGTGCCAAGTCCATGTTATTACTGTTATTGAATTATTCTGGGTTCGCCTCAAAGCTCTTGATGAAGTGTGGCTCAGTGAAGTTGTACTCAGTGAAGTACAGAAGACCCTCGCCATTCACGGAAGATACGTTTTCGACATCCCTGCAAATGGTGAAATCCACGAATAAGGCACTGTGTTCATGAACGCTGTCTGCATTCATGAACACAGTGCCCCCAGCGGCTGGGTGGGGGGAGCCTGCTGGCAGCAAGTGCAGAGCTCCTGAGGAGCTTGTATGTAAGCATGTGTTTAAGATGGGGGGGTTCAGCATTCGCGAATATTCGAAACCATGAATGCTGAACCCACGAATAGCAAGGGTTTCCTGTATGTGCGACAGCTCCTTGTACAAAGCTTGTCACCCTTTGGTCATCTGAATCACTTATTCTCTTGTACTGGGCCTTCAGAGCCTTTGATTTGGTCCGGCATTGATAGCGGTCCTAGTTGTAGCTCTGAAGTGTTGCGTCTGCCATGATCTGTTCGAACCTTGTCTGGTTCTATTGGCTCTTCCTGGTGCTGTCCTCGCACCAGGTGGAAAAAAGAGCCATGACCTTGGCTTGCTTCCAGTTGGGGGAGCATTTTGAGGTTTCGGACATTTTGTGCCAGAGGGTGTAGCGAGTGAGTGAGATGCTTGAGAGTACACTGCACTTGAGAACCTAAATCCCTGAGGTGGTGGTCTATACCAGGGGTCGTCAACCAGGGGTACGTGTACCTCTAGGGGTACTTGGGAAGGCCCCAGGGGGTATGTGGCAGAGGTACCTAAGAAGCGGTGGTATAGGGGGCGGGGCTGCCGCAACCATCCATCACTGTACTGCTGCCGGGTGCCGCACACCACTTTCCAGCACCCAGGTATCCCTGCTTCTCCATGCCACCAGCTTTGCATCCGGCCAGCCATCAGCACCCCCTAACCCCGGCACGCCCAAGTATTTTATGGACCCCTAGTCTATAAATACAGAGTCAGCATGCCTTTGTCTAGCTTTGAGAAGGCAAATTCACATGTTGGGCAGGGCCTTTGATCCCAGGACAGTGGCACTGGGAGCAGGTTGCAAAGAGGTAACTACCTTGGTATGGTGGGGGTGGGAAGAAGAGTAGTATAACTCCCTGTCAGTCTGCTGGAGACTATAAAATTATTGCAAAAACCTCCATAATTAAATACTTCAGAGTTGTTCTTTTTCACCCCAGGGCATTTTTAATACAGTATGGACCACATTTTCAGCACTTTTAAGTCTGTTTGTCTGTCTCCTCACACTTTATAATGCTTTAAAGGGATGCCCTAAGAGAACTTAGTTTCCCTAATTGAAACAAAGCTTGTTGACTGTTTGCCTGCCTCTCTCAGGGTACTGTATTAATCCCATCACACTGATATCAAAGCACCTTGCCAGCAAAAGAATGCTGTAAAAAAAACATCGAATTCCATAGGTCATGTCAAAATTGACAGATTGTGTTTAGTTGGCCATCGTCAGTTGTCAGCTAAACCATTTCGCTGGGAAGTTTTGGGTTTTTTTTTACAGTTTTGCAGGGTGTTTGTTTTTTTTTTTACATCAAAAGTTTTATGAGCCCTATAAGTCAGAAATATAAATGTGACGCTTTATAATAAGTAATACGGAAACCAAATTGCTACTTTTTCTACTTCTTCTCTGATAGGCTTTTTTTACTTTTGCGGAAGAGTGGTATGTTTATGATCTGTTTATGATTGAAATGACCTGTTCTTATTGTTGTTAAATACATGTTTTGTGTTTTCAGGTGTACTGTGAATATGGCATGGTACATGTTCTGTCAGAAAAGGGGAGCAGTAAAGGGAAAGACTACTGTATCCTTTTCAACTCTCAATGGGCCCATTTACCACATGACCTTGGCAAAGCTGTAAGTACTCTAGACTAAGGTGTAATAGTAATATTTTGAAGACTTTGGAGTGTCTAGTGTGTGAGGAGGGAACTGATATGGGTTCTAAATTTATTTGTCCATCTGCTAGTCAGACTAGAAGGTTAAGACTCTTGGGAGGGATCCAAGTATGGTGCCCTAGTAGGAATCCTAAAGCTTGGGGAAGGAACCCCTCTTTTCCTAAAGGAATCTCCCTTTTTCTAAACCTTTTGCAGGAAGGTTGTGGCAAAGTGTTGTTTTTCCCCTTTGAATTTTCATACCATGCTTTTGCTAGGAGATTTAGGGAGACTGATACTAAAATTTTGTGAAAACGTGAGGTGAAACATGGGGAAGAAGGTAAAGGAAGAAAAGGGGATATAAGGTAAGGAAAACATGGGGGGGGCAAGGGGATCATGGAAAAATGGAAATCTATTTGACATATAAAAGGAAAGGGGCAAGGTGAAATGTGAGGCTAAAAATGGAAAATGGGTATAATAAAATAAAAGTTAATGATTTATTTTAAATGTGCATAATCCTCTGTATGTTACATGTTTATATATTAATTAGCTATTTTATCTTACTAATGTCATAGAGTACTGTAGTGAAAGTATTTTAAAAGCTCTGGAAATGCATTACTTTTTTTTCTTTAGAAAGTAATGGCTGCTTGGGAGCATTTAAAATGCTCTTTGGAATGTTAATTAACATGAGGAATAATTCATCACAGTGGTTTAATTTGTCACTTCTTCCAGTTCCCCTGCCAGCACCCCTTTCAATCATCAGCTCCCAGTAGTTGGTTCCAACTGGATAATTTGCCTGTATTTGGATTTTTGTTGGAGTTGCAAATTAACCAGAGAACCAGAGTTTACTGTACAACAACGTGGAAAAGGATCACCTAGTTCCAAATAGCATATTTACTTGCATACCATCTGCACCTTTTCCCCCCAAAACCAGCCCTCCAGAATTGGGGTGCTTCCCTTAAGTGAAAAATGTATCTGCCACTTATGGCAGCAAGCAGCAGGGGGTGGAGTCCAGTGTTGACCCTCTCGCAGCCACTAGCAAAGCGGTTGCTTTTGGCTGAAGGATAGCTGAGCTGGTTGAGGGTAAGGGAACTGCTACATGCAGTTAGTAGCATCTTGATGAGGCTTGCAGTATGAAAGCAACACTGTTTGCAGGAACTTTATATAAAGAGCTATATAAAGTTAAAGAAGTAAGAGTTTTACTACTACCCTTGAAAGAATCAGCATTGTTGGTGTCCTATCACACCAGGAATTCCCACTGCCTCACCCAGGCTGTCTCTGGAATGCTACATTTCCTGGGCACACTGTATGTCTAGGAAGGCCATGTCTTCCCCTCCACCCCCTCCCCCTTACGTTCTGTCTTCCAAAAACAATGGGTGCATGCTCACAACTTAAGATAAGGTGACTTAACTAAGTTGACTTAACTTAAGCCACATTGGAGCATACATGTACATTACATTACATGTACATTAGGGATGTGTGAAGCAGGCAATATTCAGTTCAGATTCGGCCCAGTTCGGGAGACAGTGATTCAATTCACTGATTCAAATCACTGTCCCAATTCGATTTGGCTGAATCTGAATATGAAGATTCGATTCTGATTCGGGGAATCAGCATTTCGGCCATAGACATAGCTTTATATGTGGGGGGAGGTTTTTTGTTTTTTCTACGTATCTCGAGGTACTGGGGGGAGGATGGAGCATCCCATGAGAGTGCAGGAGTGGTCCCCATGTGCTTGGCAGTGGACCCCCCCTCCCCTGACCCAGGAGGCACCAGTCGCCGGGGGGAAGGCCTCCCCATGTGTTCTGCAGCAGACCTGGAAGCGGACCGAAAGTACTTTTGGTCCATTTCTGGATCCACCACCAAGCGCATGGGGGGACTGCGCCCCTTCTCCCCCACCCCGCTCCCATGAGATGGTCCGTCTGCCCCATCATCTCGGCGTTCATGAGCCGCTCCTGGTACCTCAAGGTATGTAAAAAAGTGTGTGTGTGTGTGTGTGTGTGTGTGTGTGTGTGTGTGTGTGTGTAAAGCTGCGTCTATGGCCAAATCGTCAAATCTCTCGGAATCGAATCGGACGCTTCCAATTCAATTTGGAGAGATTAATGGGTCTTCTGATTCAATTCAGATTCAGAGATTCGGCCGCTGAATCGGGCTGAATCTCCTCCATATCAGATCAGCGACCAAACCTTTGCACAGCCCTAATGTACATCTCCTTCACATGATGGCAGCTACCTTGTGAGCGAAGTCAACTTAATAAATGCAACTCAAGAAAATGCTCCTTGGAGGTGTATTATCTTGCACCATATTTAAGTTGACTCTGCTCCACGTGTGTGTGTGTATACCCTGGCAGTTAAGTCGACTTAAATTTTAAGCCAGCTTAACTGTCAGAAAGTTAGGCTGTGTATACACACCCAGTGTGCCTATATTGGGGTGGGGAGAGGGGAGGACGTATGTGATAAAATACAGTAAACCATTCAGCAGATTAAAATAAAACAATATTTTGGGTTTTGGCGTTATTGCTATGTTGTTAGTATCTGCTTCTCCCTTTCTGTAACATTTAGTGAGCGTAATGATAGTTAATGTGCATGTTTCTTAGGATAGACTCTGGATTCTTTTCTTGTGAACGTTGACTTCATTTTTGTTTAGATGCGTTTAGATCTTGTGCAAAGAATTCTTTTTTTCAAAAACCATTTATCCATAAGATTGGAAGGCACCTCAAAAACACCCCTTGCACGAATGCTGAAGTACTGTTCCTAGACCTTCCTGATCAAAATGCCCATCCATCCTCTTCTTGGAAATCTCCAATGGAAGATTCCACAACTTTGCTAAATAACTCATTTCATTGACATATGGTTTTACAGTTACGATTTGGACTTACCATATTTTCTTGTGTACCACTACACCTTTCTTCCCAAATATCAGCTGTGTGTGTGGGGGGGGGGGAAGGGGAGTGCATCTTAAGCAAGGAAATACAGCCAAACCCCATATTCTTACTGTGCTGTACCCAGTCCAGCACACACCGAGTTATTTTCCCTTTCTGCATTTTGCTTTGTTAATGGGACGTTCAAGCTATGCTGAGTTTGTAGGGTTCCCTAGCTGCTGGCTGTCAACCCAGAGGTGGGCAAAATATGGCCTGCGGGCCAGACCTGGCTCACCAGGCCATTCTTTCTGGCCCGTGGAGCCCCTAAAAAATTTAGAAAATGTATATTTATATGTTCCTGGCTGGCTGTCAAAGATGACAGGACCCATGGGGAGCCAGCAGGACTCAGTAGCAATGCCAGCCCAGCCCTGAAATGCCCCCCAGCCCCCTCCCACCCCTGCTTCTCCCAGCCTCTGCCTGCTGCAACTTTCACTGCTTCCCTGCACACCTGGCGGCCGCTCCAGCACCACGTGGCCCCTGGCTGCATCAACGAACTGTGGGAGTGCGCACCAGCACCACAGGGCCGGTGGGGGCAGGGAGAGAGAGAGAGGTGTCATAGGGTGAGTGTCCCACACAGACCCCACATATACCCCCTCACATACCTCAGCCACCCTCCCCCACTCACATCCCCCCACAAACCCAATACCCACCCATGCCCCACATATCCACACACCAGCCCCCCACAAACCTATCCCTACCCTTCCATCCCCCCCCGAATATCTAAGAGTAAGACTTCATCTTAAGCTATTATATACAATCACCTCTTTATATACAATCACCTCTATATACACTACACAAACACACGTAAATCAGGACAAAAATATTTCTTGAAATCAAATTAATGAATGTTGTAGATGTTTGATTTTTAGAATATGGCATTGTGGTTTTTAGTATTTTTCTGGTCCTGAGATGGCAAAACCCCTTGCTGAAAAGAGTACTCCTGGGGGCAAGAGGAGGGCGTTCTGGTGGCAAAGGTTAGGGGGTGGAGCTTCTGATCACAAGATGGCAACCAGGGGGCACGGCACCTGTCAAGGGGCAGGGCTACCTATGTGGCCCTCAACAACTCTACCTAAACTTGGTAAGCGGCCCTCCACCCAAATTAATTGCCCTCCCCTGCTGTAAACAGTAGGATTTCCATGTACTCACTATGCTGCCAGCAAGAACAGGGTTACTTTCCCTTTCCCTGGGGCAAGCTGCTACTGATTGAGCAGCAGCTTCTGTAACAGAAGCCTGAGGCTATCCCTTGAACAAAGTGAAAAGGATGGGGAATGGAAAGTAACCCTGCATGTGGTGAAAGAATGTCCTCAAGTTGCCGACATGGCGAATACTGTTTCTGATGCTGCTTCTGAGGAGGGAATTGTCCACAGCCAGCCACTGGCTAGGGGATTAATAGAGCAGCCGCACACAGGTTGTTGCTCCCCCTTCTGCAGATGCTGCTGTTTTCGCTGCTGGCACAGGAAAATATTTTCTTCTTTCCACATTTGGAAAACAAGATGGGTATCAATTTAATGCTGGAGGAGACCTCTGGGACTAGAGGAAGAAATGCCAGAGGCAGCACTAGAGAAGAGAGAGGATATGGACACTCAAGAGAGTGGAAGCTGGAGGCTTGTGACTTCTGGCAGCAATCGGAGAAATTCACTTCCACCTGTAGTAGTTCATCTCGAGAACAGATGTGCAGCTCTAGCAGCGCAGAGGGAGGAGCACGTTCCACTGGTGGAGGAAGACAGGCCAGGCCTCACCAAAGTGGGAAGGATCGAGATGACCGCCACCAAGAACAAGTGATGGGTGGTGGTGGTTGGAGGCTCCCTTCTGCAGTGGACGGAGGGAGCCATCTGCCAACCTGACCTGTTGTCTTGGGAGGTCTGCTGTTTGCCCGGAGCCCAGATCTGAGATGTCACAGGGGGACTACCAAGGCTCATCCAGCCCCCTGACTACTACCCTATGCTGCTCATCCACATGGACACCAATGATACTACCAGGCGAGACTCTGAGTATATCAACAGTGACTAAAGAGCTCTGGGTGCAAGGGTGAAGGGGTCTGCGGCTCAGGTTGTATTCTTGTCAGT